GGCAGCCGATTTCAATCGTTGAGATTTGTTTTGCAAAGTATATTTTATATGAGATATAAAAGTATACATATTATGGTTTTTAAAATGTTTGCAAAAGATTTTAATTCCCGGGATCCATATAAGCAAGGAGTGCAACACTGTTCCTTGCAGCCGAGGGAGAGGTCCTCTCTTGTCGGGCAGTGTTTGATCATTAAGGGCTGAGAGGTTAAGTGTAAGTGCATTGAGGGTAATGCCTGATGGGCTAATCTTGCATGTGCCCATAGTCCCTGGGTGTTACAAGGTGGCTTGGCCCAGGGACCACTTAAGATAAGTGTTGGACCCATAGAGCCCATTTGATGGGTTTCAGGGGGTGCACTGTCCATAATAGTGTATTCGGCCAGGCCTTATAACAAAGGCTGGGCCGAACCCATGTGGCTGATGTGTAGATCAATGTTTGGGTCCCATGCCATACAAGGAAGCCCAACTGGGCAGCAGTTTGGAAGGCTAAGTGAGCACACAACCTTAATGGGCCTAAAGCCCATTTCGAACTGGGCTGGTTTGATCAGTTTAAATGAGGGGCGAATCTAGGATTAAATTAGTTGATAGGATTGGGCCTTGACCCTATCCACTCAGAGAGTCCAAGATCTAAATAAGATTTAGATCTAGGAGCCTCCTAATAGGATTAAGAGAGGGTTGATCTAATCTACAAATAAGATAAGGGTTCTCCCTTATCACTTAAAGGGACTTCTAATCCAAATATGATTTGGATCAGCAGCTCCTAATGGGATTAGGAGCTGATCCCTTTAAGCCTATAAAAGGAGAAGGGGGTGGCAGCTTTTAGACACAACACAGACAATACAAGAGAGAAAAAGGTCTCTAGTCTTCAGAGCTGAAATCACAGAAAAAAGATTTCTGCAATCTCTACAAAACTCTTTCTTGCCGCCTCCTTCCTGTCGCCGCCAGACCTCCAGTTCGATCTCCAGCTTTGTGGGAGAGATCAAGATTCGATCTTAATATCAGCCCTTTGTGAAAGAACTGATTGGAAGCAGTACTCACGGGCCATCCAGCTATTCTTACGAAGGATCAGGTTCTTGGAGAACGTTGTTGATTCTGTTCCATTCTGCACTGCGCCATCTTTAGTGGGAGCAGTCTTTGGATCCTTCCTTGGGCGTGAACACCTCCATTGAGAGATAATATTTCTCTGTATCAGGTATACCTCTCTCCTACTTCTTTTGGTTCAGCTCTGGTTCAGTTCATGGTTCAAGATTGGTCCTTGAAAATATGATTTTCTAAATAGGGAATGCGATTCCCAGTTGAAGGGAGAGAAAAATTTTTGAAATTCGCCCACCTTATTCCGCAAGATTTGGGCGTCCATACGATGAATCTCTCATCCCTTCAGTGGTATTAGAGCCCATGTTCAAATCTTGAACCAATTTGTTTCATATCTGAACCTGCGCAAATGGGCAGAAGGCGTTCTACCCGATTTGCGCAGATAAAGGTTTTGGGAAATTTGTTCCCAAATTTTATGGGCGAATAATTTGAAATTAATTTTACATAAATCTGATTATTATTTAGAATTGTTCTTTATGATTTTCTTGATTTATGGGTTGTTCGTAAAAGAGGAGATAGAATTCTTGATTTGCGCAGGGAACCTGCGATTTTGCAGTTTATGGATTATTTTATTACATTTGGTCTGTAAAATAATTTTTTTTTTAGACTGAATGTATAGKTATTCGATCTGAAGTAATTATTAATAGAAATTAGGATTTCTATTTATTTTATTTTGGATCGAAGATGGCGGCGCAGAGGAGGAGATTTCATAGATGGGAGAATCGTTGTCTACGATTTGCAGTTTGTGAAACTGCAACCTGTGATCTAACCTCTGTTTTGCAGGAAAGATTGTGCGAGCAGCCCTGATAGACTGATTCTTGATTGTTCTTTTATCAGTATTTAATTTCAGATTATTTTCTTGARTTAAAKATTTAATTAAAGRTCAAACCSTAGACCCATTCGAACCAAGATTGGTTCAAATTGTTTGAACCGAATCTAGGGTTCGGTCAAGGCTGAATGTCAACCCTAATTTTCCCACTAATGGGCCTGAGGCTTGAT